AACTAAAAGCAGTGATGAAATATGTATTCAGAAGTCTTAGACCTTTTTAATGATAATAGTTTGTCATGATTAGATTAGGATTTAAAATCGCAACATAATGAAATATATTGAGGTTGAAATATATTGAAGTTAGTTCCTAAGTTCCACTTCAAAAATGAACATTTCCTAATAATTTACTCTCCCCTTGGCCATCCAAGATGTTCATTTCTGTCTTTAGTAAAAGACATTGAGGTTTTTGAGGGAAAATATGCTGGATTTTTACCATATAGTGGACTTCAGTGGTTCGAGCGACATCTTATCTTTCCCAGTAATGCAAATATGGAAGCGCCAAATACCAAATCAATGATGCATTATTAAATGTAAATAACTTTGCATCCAAAGACAGCAAATCCATTGTCTTCCTGCAGTGCGATGAAGATAACGAGCGATAACATGTTCATAGAGCGTGCCATAATTTGTATATATGGAGATTGCGGCTGAAACATGTTTATACAGTACACCACTTATACTACTTTATTTTTTTAACAACAACATGTTCAAGCAATGTGGTGTATTTTGAATAGACAGATTATGAATGATAGCATCCAATGATATATAGACGGGGATTACAAGCGATAACAATCTGTTCATATAGTGGGTGTTGAAAGACAAGGAACTGATTTGGACCCAGCATTGGAATTGCCTTGGTGGAAAAGAGGTAGAAATGATCCCAGCTGAGTCTTATTTAGTGAAATGATTGGTTATTCACTTAAAATGAATGAGCACATACTTTTAAAACCACTAAAATTTGTCTGGCACAGGTACTGGGAAGCAAAGCAGTCCTCTTGGAGTCAAGCAGTATAAACATTTTTTAAAAAATAAATAAAATGACCAAGAGTATTACTTGACAAAGCACTTAAGTAAAACACACTAAACTTGTTCTTGGAGGTTCAGTGTCCTGCAGATTTTAGCTCCAACCCTAATCAAACACACCTGAACAAGCTAATCAAGATCTTACTTGATATACTTAACACCTGCCTGGGTATTTCGAGGCAAGTTGGACCTAAACCCTGCAGGGCACCGGACCTCCAGAATTGAGATTGGTGACCCCTGATTAAGAGCATGGGTGTGCAAATGCAGTCCTGGAGGGCCGGTGTCCTGCTGAGTTTAGCTCCTACTTACTTCAACACACCTGCCAGGATGTTTCTAGGGCAGGGGTGGCCAAACTCGGTCCTGGAGGGCCGGTGTCCCGCATAGTTTAACTCCAACTCTAATCAAAAACACCTGAACATGCCAATCAGTGTCTTCAAGATCACTAGAAATCTATAGGCAGGTGTGTTTGATTAAAGTTGGAGTTAAACTGTGCAGGACACCGGCCCTCCAGGACCAAGTTTGCCCATCCCTGTTTTAGGGTATCTAGTAGGAGCTTGATTAGCTGGTTCAGGTGTGTTTGATTAGGGTTGGAACTAAACTCTCCAGGACACCGGCCCTCCAGGACCGAGTTTGGACACCCCTGATTTAGAGTCTTTAAAAGCTGCATTGAAACTACTTATGTCCACTATACGGCGAAAAATCCAGCATGTTATTATTTTAAAAACCTTTAATTCTGTTTAGCCGAAGAAAAAAAAAAGATTTATATCTTGGATGACAAAGGGCGAGTGCATAATCATAATAGAACACAATAGTGAACTAACCCTTAAATGAACTTCTCTTTTTGTAGGAAATGCCACAAACTCACCCAAGTATGGAAGTATGATGTCCATCCCAGACGTAATTGAGGGGGAAATACTTATACCTCCTCCACCCAGCTCTGCCCCTCCACCACCTCCATCCTCTTCAGCTCAGCCTCCACCTTCATTCATCCCTCCCACACCACATATCTTTGGTGAAATCGACCCTCCTGTAGACCGTGCAAGTCTGCAGCCGCCTCCGATGGCTCCCCCAAAACCTCCATCACATACTAGTTCAGGGTATGCTTCAGGTTTGGTCTTATCCTCCATCAAGCCGCCGTCAATGGCTCCTCCAAAACCTCCATCTGAAACCTCTAGCTTCAAAGGTTCCCTTTCCAGCTTGGAGGCTCAAAATATTCCAGACTGCCCTAAATTCAACCCACCGCCACCTCCTGTGGTCAAAACACCACCTGTTCTTTCTAGAGGTCAGAAAGCGGCACCACCAAAACCTGTCCGAATGTCTTCCATACCTAGCCTGGACATCCAATCTCCAGCACCACCCGTCGCTTCTAATCCAACTCCATCCAGCTTCAACCCCCAGAACACAGCCAAACTGTACAACGTCCAGAAAAGCACAACAGTTGTTGGAGAATCAGACAGGGAAAAGGGAGCACAGTCCATTCTACTGCTGCAAGATTCTGCAGGAAACACTGTTGGGGTTGTCAATGGTAATGGCGGGAAAAATGCTGGATCTCTCCAATCATTCCAGCCTGGGGTGCCTCCATCCAAACCAGCCCGTCAGAACAGTTCTGCTACTCAGCTAAAGGAGGACCAGCTGGACACGGCACAAGCTCAGCCAGCAAGTCAGCCAGTCAAAATTGAAGCTGAAATCCATCCTGAGCCCCCAAAAACCATCCCAACTGAAGTTCCAATGCCTGTTAAAGCTTCACCCAAAATAGAGAAGATCGTCACCGAAGTTCCAACACCCATGAATGCCTCACCCAAAATCGAGAAGAAGATCCCTGAAGTTAAGCAGGTGATGGCGACAATGGACTCTCCTGGCAGGTCTCGCAGGTACAGCCCAGTCCTGAACCACCGAAAGCTACGCAGCGGGGATGGCTCAGCCAAGAAAGAGACATCAACTTCTCCGTTTGCCTTGCTAATGGCTGCAAAGGAAAGAGAAAAGCAGAAAACTGCTCTATCCCAGCAGAACAGCAACTCTGACGACACAGTGATCCAACCTAGTGTTGAAAAAACAAACTCCTTCCCTGTTATTCCTAAAGACCTAACACCAGATAGTCCTAGTGCACAATTAAAAGCAAGCACAAACATGCAGCCCCAGTCAACCAGAACAGAGGTCAGCAAAGTGTCTTACTCAAAGCCAGAGCTTAGTTTTAGTCCACAACTAAATAGTTCTGTTCCCCATGCTAGAGATTTAGAAAGTGGAGAAGACTTGACCTTCATACCTCCACCTCCTGAGTTTGCTAATTCTGACACAGAGGACGAATCTTCAGTTCTTTCAACTCACCCTGCTTCTGCTCCCCCAGTGAAAACTGCTCCTCCACCTACTAAAAGTTTCTTACCTTCTACACCCACTCCCATCCCTAACCTCTCTCCACCAAATCACCCCGCTCCTGCCGCTCCATCCACAAAAACTTCAGTACCTGCTCCAATCACCAGCTCCCCCAATGCTCCTGCAAAAACTGCACCTCCGCCTTCTAAAACCTTTTTATCTTCTACACCCGCTCCAATCACCAACCTCTCCCCACCAAGCCATCCCGCTCCTGTACCTCCATCCACAAAAACCTCTGTACCTGCTCCGATCACCAACTCCCCCAATGCTCCTGCTACAGCTCTAAAAATTCCTAGACCTGCTCAACTTGTTTTACCTTCTCCAATCACCAGTGTTCCTCCACCCAGTTACCCTGCTCCTGCTCTGCCACCTTCCAAACCTTCCCAGCCATTTACATCTCCACCCATATCCAATGGACCCCTAACATCTCCCAAACCTAAACCGCCCAGTGCTCCTCCTAAGGCTCCAGGACCTCCTCCAATCGTCCAGCCCCAATCTAAATCATTTGTTCCAACTAAATCAACACAAAATCCCACCCAGGCACCTCCATCTGTTGCTGCAAGCCAGGCGACACTTCTTAGTATCCTCCAAAAGAAGATGCTAGAGATGGACCCCAAGATCTCAGCCGCCAAGGAGGTGGAAAGCAATGGAGATGACTGGAACTCTCCTATGTCCGATGACGAGGCCACGTCACCCCCTGCTGGATACAATCCTAAAAAACCCAACAGTGCCATCCTGCCAGCACAGTCCCGTGGACTGGACATGAAAGAGCTGGAGAGTAAGGCAGCAAAGGCCCAGGAAAAGAAATCCCAGAGCAGGTGAGTTTTAATGTGAACACAAGCCATGTACGAACATAAACATTGAATAATGGCATTTAGCCTCAATAAGGTGTGGGTTAAGCTTGACGCTGAAGGAGTAGAAACCTAATCAAAAAGGACTAGTTAAATTTGATCCACTGGAAAACAATTAGGTAGTTAAAAAAGTACCCATGAGTGGCGTTATTTAATAATGCAAAGCCTAATGATCTCCATTTCCACTGTAGTGTTAAAGAACGGTCTGAAATTATAAATCGCAACTGGGAGACATGACATTTGAACACTAAGGGTGTCACGATCCTCCAAATCCTCGATTCGATTACATTTTCGATTCTAAAGGCACGATTCGATTCGATTATGAATAATTAATTAATTAATGACCAATTCATTATTTGTAGCCTACCGTTTAAACTACCTGACCTGCATGGTCTTTGTTTGACCCATAAACAAATCATACAGTAAATGAATAAAGGCAAGAGACACACATAATTACCACCTGTCAATCACTTTTTCTGCGGGACTCGTGAATAGGCAGTGATCTGTGTCGTTATAATGGCGTCGGCACAACCAACAGGAACCAGCCAACAGTATCTGAGGTGTTCGCTAAAATGACCAAGTACAAGTGAGTGAAAGATTGAAGCAGTCCTCTGACTGCCTGGACCTGCTGTCTCGAGCGCATGGCTGTGTGTGCGTCTGTGTCTGTGTGGTCACGTGATGTGCATTTTCAGAGGTAGAGAGGAAGGAGGGCTGCTCAGAAATGCTACACGCCACTGTGGATGTCAAATCGTTGTTCTAAAATGCCATTTAAAAACAAAGACAGTGTAAACAGGGCCTGAGTGTGCACTTTTCGCGAGCGGATTTGCAACGGGGGCGGGCGGAGGATCGCGATGCCAGTGTTGTCTATCAGACGAACCCTAATACGTACATAGCAGAGCTTGCAAAACTGTGTTTTTTGTGTCGACAACACGAACGTTGTCAACATAACTCACTGGAAATCCAAAATGCTTCCACACCGGCGACTTCATTGAAAGAGGAGAGGGTTTAAGTTCTGTCGACGGGTCTCCTGCTTCTGCAGTTTAACAAGCACTTCAACAAGCCTGTTTTAATCCCGCTTGGCAAGCCAAGCTGACGTGACATGGGGGTGTGGCAGCATCGACGATTCTATTTTTTGATTCGATAATCGAAATTGAGCATAAATTGATCGATTTCGATTAAAAATCGAAATCGTAACACTCCTATTGAACACCAATGAATTTAATACCTGCATACCTTTTTCATCACTCTAAACCAGAAATTGGAGGCTTGGTGACATCAGATTATGTGCGGAGTGATTACGCAACATTTTTTCCATGTCAAAGCATGCACAATATTTCAGTCATCGCAATAAAAACTTCCCTGAGAGCACACGCACATAGCTGAGATGTCTACTTGAAGTATGTGTTTTTATGTGGAACTGCTGAAATATTAACGCTGACACTAAAACAATATTCAGATACATTCATGATTTACAAGCCGTCTTGTTTTGATTGCTTAATTTACCTGAAAGTCACTTAAAATTAAAATCACAACGCTTCCCAGATGCACACTTTACAACATTTGATTGACTTTCATGTACCCACCATCCCTCAACCAGATAGAATCCTCAAATACATGTATAATTTTGAGAAATTACTAGTCAAAGTGGAAGCAAACGTCAAAGAGAATTACCTGAGGTGCAAATACTAGAAGAGCAGGTTTTAGAAACATATCTTATTTGTAGTTTGCTGCCGAGTCTGAAGCAGCTGGGATAAGAATCAGAACCTCTATTTACAAGGTCATGGGGCTCCACCAGAAAAAAGGTGGTTTGCCATCTCCAGGTTGGAGGAAAGTCCTTACCCCGGTGGAGGAGTTCAAGTATCTTGAGGTTTTGTTCATAAGTGAGGGAAGGATGAACGCGAGATGGACAGGCGGATTGGTGCAGCGGTAGCAGTAATGTGGATGATGTCCTGTTCTGTTGTGGTAAAAAAGGAGCCAAGGCGAATGGCAAAGCTCTCAATTTACCAATCAATCTACGTTCCTACTCTCACCTATGGTCATGAGCTTTGGGTCTTGACCGAAAGGACAAGATCTCTGATACAAGCGGCCGAAATGAGTTTCCTTCGAAGGGTGAGCAAGGGCGCATCCTTATGGATAGGGTGAGGTGCTCTGACACCCGGGAGGAGCTCAGAGTAGAGCCGCTGCTCCTCCACATGGAGAGATGTCAGTTGAGGTAGTTGGCGCATCTGTTGCAGATGCCTCCTGGACGCCTACCTAGGGAGGTGTTCCAGGCATGTCCCACGGGGAAGACCCAGGACATGCTGGAGGGACTATGTCTCTCGGCTGGCCTGGGAACGTCTCGGGATCCCCCCGGAGGAGCTGGAGGAAGTGTCTGTGGAGAGGGAAGTCTGGGGTTCTCTTATAAGATTGGGAAAGCGGTAGAAAATGCATGAATGAATAGTTTGTAGCATAGCTGTCCTTCAGTGTACACAGTATGCAAAGTTGTCAATCTAAAAAGTCTCAAGAATCCGTCTGCTCTGAATGTCCTTGATATATTTTCTAATCTTTTGCTTTTTGCCGATCTGCGCCAACACGACATCAAATCAGCTCATTTGCATAAACCCCACCCCCAACAATACATGCAAATTTATTATAATATTATTAAAAGCACAAATTTTGAGAAAATTCCAATGTTTTCTGACCATAGACGCATATCAAGATCCACTCCTGCACAATATCAGGACACTTTAAGGATGCCACACCACCTGCTCTTTAATTTGAGGATTGTTTACTGATGAATGATTGCCCTTTTCCCCTTTATCCCTCAGTTCTGGAGCATCAGCCAAACAGCAGTATGGAATGACGTTCACCGTGAGGCCGGGAAGCAAACAGCCAATAACACCCGTGATCAAAGACAATTGACCGTGATCCAGAACTTTCTGAAGCGTGCCTTACCTGTACATACGCACTTACCTGACAGATATTTAATGTTTTGCACTCTTACTGCTGTTGCTGAAGTATTACTCTAACTTTGACCCAGCTCCGTCACGGACTTCACAGAGCTGCTATAATCACGGTGCCTGTAAATGCTACATGGACAATAGTTGGTGTGTAATATTAGCTTATTTAACGTCAAATCTTTTAATTTAAAGGGGTCAAATGATGCTATTTTATATTTTCCTGTTCTTGCATATAACCCAGATATATTCTTTGTATAGTTAAGACTCATCCAATCACAACACATTGGGTAGTCAGCCAATCAGATTACTCAAGAAGCTGATATTCCAAATATGGTAAAGGGGCGTAACCTTTCCGTCACATGCTTGAGCTATTCGGCCAATTACAACACTGAATAGTTAGGCAATCTGATTGCATTGGAAGCTGATATTCCAAATATGGTAAAGGGGCGTAACCTTCTATCATACACTTGATGTATTTGGTCAATCACAACACTCTGAATAGTCAGCCAATCAGATTGCTTTGGAAGCGAATATTCCAAATATGATAAAGGGGTGTAACCTTTTCGTCACATGCTTGAGCTGTTCGGCCAATCACAACACTAAATAGTAAGGCAATACAATTGATTTGGAAGCTGAAATTCCAAATATGGTAAAAGGGCGTAACCTTTCCATCACACACTTGATGTATTTGGCCAATCACATTGCTTTGGAAGCGGGTATTCCAAAAGGGGTGTAACCAATTTGTCACATGCTTGAGCTATTCAGCCAATCACAATGCACTGATTAGTTAGGCAATCAAATTGCTTTATTGACATTCCAAATATGGTAAAGGAGGCGTAAACTTTTGGTCATGCATTTGCGCAACTCAGCCAATCAACATGATGGGTAGTCGGCCAATCAGGTTACTCTCGAAGTTGATATTCCAAATATGGTAAAGGGGCGTGACCTTCCGTCAGACACTTTGTGTATTTACAACCCACTGGATAATTAACCAATCAGATTGCTTTGGAACGTAATATTCAAAATATGGAAAAGGGGCATAACCTTTCTGTCAGAAGCTTCAGCTATTCGACCAATCACAACACACTGGATAGTCAGCCAATCAGTTTGCTTTGAAAGCTGATATTCCAAATATGGTAAAGGGGTGTAACCTTTCCTTCAGCCAATCACAACACTCTGCATAGTTAACCAATCAGATTGCTTTGAAAGCTGATATTTCAAAAATGGCCAAGGGGTGTAACCTTTGTCTCACGCTTGATGTATTCAGCCAATCACAACACACTACATAGTTGATTAATCAGATTACTCTAGAAGCTGATATTTCAGATATGGTAAAGGGGCGTAACCTTTCTGTCATACAGTTGCGCTATTCAAGCGATCATTGGCCAATCAGATTGCCAAGGAAACTGATATTCCAAATGTGGTAAAGGGGCGTAACCTTTCCATCATATGCTTCAGCTATTCAGCCAATCAACATACTGGGTAGTAAGCCAATCGGATTGCTTTGAAAGCTGACATTCTCAATATGGTAAAGGGAAAACCTTCCATCACATACTTGATGTATTTGGCCAATCACAACACACTGCATAGTTGGCCAATCAAGATTGCTTTGGATGCTGATATGCTAAATATGGTAAAGAGGCGTAACCTTTCCATCACAAGCTTCAGCTATTTGGCCAATCACAACACATTGTTGAGTTGGCCAATCAGATTGCTTTAGAAGTTGACATTCCAAATATGGTAAAGGAGGAGTGAACATTCCATCACACACTTGATGTATTCGCCCAATCACAACACACTGCATAGTTGACCAATCACATTTCTTTGGGAACTGATATTCCAAATATGGGAAATGTTATTCACATGCTTGATCTATTCAGCCAATCACAGCACTGAATAGTTAGGCAATCCGACTGCTTTGGAAACTGATATTCTGAATATGGTAAAGGGGCGTACCCGTTCCATCACAAGCTTCAGCTATTCGGCCAATCACAACACACTGCACAGCTGGCCAATCAGAGCACGCAATGTTATTGAGAAGGATGAGTTTGTAAACACTGGCGAGCACGAACACGCCGACTTACACTAAACAATGCCATTTCCCCTAACATCATGTGACCCCTTTAATGAGTGAGCTGAACCGTGACGTCTGCATGAGATCACTGATGAACATAACGAACTCTCAGCTCTCACACCAGAGATTCTTCCAGGTCACAACCATGATGCATTTACACACTCTTCAAATCAGCCCTAAATAGTTGTAAACGCTGTTGAATATGACGTCTCCGCTGCTTCTCTTGGTTATGTGTGTAGATCTGAAATGTCTATCTATAATCCCGCTGTGCCTGATATATAAGCTAACAGCACACATCTGTATATACTGCTGTGACATCACTATAGGTCAATCACTGGGCTGTGCTCATCATCTGTACGCCTCTGCACTGAACACTCAGTGTGTGTGTGTGTGTGTAACTGCGCAATAAAGACATGCGAGAGCACTAAACAGAAGCTTTATTGAACATCAACATGTGGAGTGAGGCGGCTCCTGCTAATCTCTGCTGCTAGATGTGTTTGTTTGCTAACCGTCATGATGACGGGGGAACTCATGCCTGATTGATGCCAATGTTTGGATTACCCATGATGCTCTAGTGCTCACGGGTGTGATTTTTCCGAGATGCTCCGACGCGTGCTGGTGTTTTCCCATGATGCTCTAGTGCTCGGGTGTGTGGTGCAGCACCTGGTGGTCCCAGCCCACAGTGGTCAGCGCAGAGGAGCCGCCCGGAGACCAACACACACCCCGCACAAAGTCCTGGTGCCGCCGGTCTCTGAAACTATACACACACACACACACACACACACACACACACACACACACACACACACACACAAACACACACAAACACACACACACACAAAGAGAGAGATCCACAATCATTCACACACACTCCTGCATCAGGAGAACATCATGACTGAACACAAACCGTGTGTGTGTGTGTGTGTGTTATAATGCAAATGTGGGTGAGTAAATAAGTGTGTGTGTGTGTGTCTGAGTTTGTGTGTTACTGAGTGTGTGTGTTTGTATACAAGTGCGTGTGTGTATTTGTGAACAAGTGCGTGTGTGTGATTAAGTGTGTTACTGAGTGTGTATGAGTGTGTGCTTGTATTTAAGTCTGTGTGTTTGTGGGTGTGTGATTGTGTAACTGTGTTTGTGGGTGTGTGAGTGTGTGTGTGTGTGTGTGATTAAGTGTGTAACACTATGTGTTTGTATGCAATCTGTGTGTGTGTGTTTGTGGGTGTGAGTGTGTGTGTGTGTGTGATTAAGTGTGTTACTGAGTGTGTGTGTGTTAGTGCTTGTATTTAAGTCTGTGTGTTTGTGGGTGTGTGATTGTGTAACTCTGTGTTTGTGGGTGTGCGAGTGTGTGTGTTTGTGTGTGTGAGATTAAGTGTGTTACTGAGTGTGTATGAGTGTGTGCTTGTATTTAAGTCTGTGTGTTTGTGGGTGTGTGATTGTGTAACTGTGTCTGTGGGTGTGCGAGTGTGTGTGTGTGTGTGTGTGTGAGATTAAGTGTGTTACTGAGTGTGTGTATGTGTGCTTGTATTTAAGTCTGTGTGTTTGTGGGTGTGTGATTGTGTAACTGTGTTTGTGGGTGTGCGAGTGTGTGTGTGTTTGTGTGTGTGAGATTAAGTGTGTTACTGAGTGTGTGTGTGTGTGCTTGTATTTAAGTCTGTGTGTTTGTGGGTGTGTGATTGTGTAACTGTGTCTGTGGGTGTGCGAGTGTGTGTGTGTGTGTGTGTGTGTGTGTGTGATTAAGTGTGTTACTGAGTGTGTGTGTGTGTGCTTGTATTTACAGGGCTGATAGTGGAAAAAATTCCTGAGCCTGAACTTTTTTTCCTTGCCCCTGAGGTGAGTAGGGGTGGGGGTACTTACGTACGGAAGTATGACTACGAATACATAAAATAAATGCGTTTAAATTAAAAGAGTAGCTCAGCAAATAAACTAACTTGCGACGCGATAAATTAGGTTAAAAGTCGCGTAATGATTAAATATGGTTTTGCCACCGGAAGTGTCACTACACTCAGTGGCATGTGCCAGTGTGATCTGTACGTCAGATGTCGTGTCACTCCATGTTAAAACTGCTACTGTGAAACCGCGTTCAAGCGCACACAATAAGCTAAAACTCGCCCCAAGCACCGGCAAAAACAAATAACCATGAATGTGTCGAGGAAAGAGTAAGGATCATATCATAATTATTTATTAATAAACTTATTCTGAGTCGCAAAGATCCTGACTGGCAATCTCCTCTTGGACTCGCCTTTAGAGAGAAGTTCATCTTTACGGATTACATGAAGGAGTTTTTTTGTTTTCGATTTGTTTTATTTCGTTAAGTAATAATTTAAAGCTTTCTATAAATATATTTATTATGTCTGTGAGGCATATACATTTTGCTTCATTTTGTTAAGCGCTCCTGTTCAAAAACCAGACGACAGAAAGCGCATGATTTTGGTTTTCTTTATTTTATAAAAACGCTGTAACGTTTTTTGATGCATTACTCGTACTTTGTGAGCTAAAATGACGGATAACTTTAAATTGCTCCCACTGAAAAAATGCAAGTGATTGCTCTGGCGCCGAGATGTCCTGCAAGCTTTTTATAAGCAAACTATGCGCCTAATAGCACACATTCTTTAACGTTTAAGCTACCATTGTTTTATACTTGAACTGTTTTATATCTTTTATTTTAGGCAAGTCGTGATGATCTGAGAAGGCAAACTGATCAAACAGACAATGATGGTCTTCCGCTGGGCGCTGTTCGTTAAAAAAAACAACTTAATTTTAACGAATAAAAAATGCTCCATAAATAAGCTGAATAAAAAACGAAACTAAATATAAACACTTTGCCATTAGGCTACATACAAAACTAAACTATTTCATAGCTGAAACACTAAGTTGTTTAAGGAGAAGGGGGAAATATATTTTTGTCCCGTCTATTGCTTCACCGTTATTTCGAGAATAAACCCAGCGTAAATATGCAGATGTCATTCCCAAAACATATCAGCGTATATGTGCCGAAAACGAAAGTTTCATACAAATTCTGAATGGATTATAGCCTGGAAAGTGCAAAGCACGCTCCTCTTATTATCACTAAAAAGCGTCACTAATCTTAGTTCATAGAGATCTCACAAAGATCCGTTATAATTTATAAAGCTCTCTAAATTACACAATTAATCTTTTATTTACATGGCGTCTACACTCAAAAGATGATTCACGAGCACACAAAATGGCAATTAATAAAAACCAATCCGGCGCTTTCAGCAGTGAGTGAATTCTGTGGATCTAGAGAAATGACAGATCAATATCCGTAAACCTGATTTTTTTTCCCCCGCAGCCACAGTACGCCGGAAATCCAGCGTGGTGCCGGAACGCTATCACCCCTGTATTTAGGTCTGTGTGTTTGTGGGTGTGTGATTGTGTAACTGTGTCTGTGGGTGTGCGAGTGTGTGTGTGTGTGTGTGTGTGTGTGTGTGTGATTAAGTGTGTTACTGAGTGTGTGTGTGTGTGCTTGTATTTAAGTCTGTGTGTTTGTGGGTGTGTGATTGTGTAACTCTGTGTTTGTGGGTGTGTGAGTGTGTGTGTGTGTGTGTGAGATTAAGTGTGTAACACTATGTGTTTGTATGCAATCTGTGTGTGTGTGTTTGTGGGTGTGAGTGTGTGTGTGTGTGTGATTAAGTGTGTTACTGAGTGTGTGTGTGTTAGTGCTTGTATTTAAGTCTGTGTGTTTGTGGGTGTGTGATTGTGTAACTCTGTGGTTTGTGGGTGTGCGAGTGTGTGTGTTTGTGTGTGTGTGATTAAGTGTGTTACTGAGTGTGTATGAGTGTGTGCTTGTATTTAAGTCTGTGTGTTTGTGGGTGTGTGATTGTGTAACTGTGTTTGTGGGTGTGTGAGTGTGTGTGTGTGTGTGTGTGTGTGTGTGTGTGATTAAGTGTGTTACTGAGTGTGTGTGTGTGTGTGTGCTTGTATTTAAGTCTGTGTGTTTGTGGGTGTGTGATTG